GAAAGTGAAGAAGAGTCTCCAGAGGATCAGAGTCCAGCTGGACTATGACAGGGGGGAGGTGTCCTTCTATGACCCTGAAGACATGACTCACATCTACACTCACAGAGACACTTTCACTGAGAAACTCTTCCCATATTTGAGTACTGGAGAGAAAGGAGAAGCCAAAACCTCTGATATCAAAATCTGTCAGACTAAGATTTCTTTGAAAAGTGCAACGAGGTCTCTGTGAACTTTTTGTTTTTGTTTTCTCTTTTCTTGCACTTTCCCTCTTTTATTACATCTTGTTTTGTTGTTGTTTGTTTGTTTGTTTGAAAAAAGCAGAAATAAAAATGTAACACACAAAGCAATTTACACAATAGAATATAAATTCTTTTCAAAGCACAGAGAGCAAAATGATAAATGGCATTTGTTTTTGTTTTGTTTTTTCCAATTCAGTTTAAAGGTGATTCAAAAATGATGCACCAAATGTGAGGTGATGCAATCTTTTATCCGTTATTGGTTATTTTTTCATTTTCCATTCATTCCCTGCTCTTTTGGTTTTTTTATTAAATGTATAAATGTTTTTAAGTCATTTAACTCTTCATGAAACTATTTTTGAACATTAAAACTGTCCAAAATTGATGTGACAAAGATAAATGGATGCTGATAAATATTACTTAGCTTAGTTTTATCAGTGTTGAGATCAGAATCAGCTGATAACAATCTCTGGCTAATATGTGTGTTTTATTGGTTTGAAAATGTAAAAAAAACCCTGATTGATAACTTGATTAATAAATAATGCTAATGTCTTGTTAAGTAAGTTAAGTAAGCGATTTTCTCTATTTGAATATGTTTCTTATGGTATGTTCTGCATTACTTTGCAAAATAAATCAAACTGTGCACTTGTATATATCAATTCAGCAATAATTCCTTTGAAAGTGTCATTGCAGAATAATCTTGACTGCCTAACATTCTTATACATTTATTCAGTTGTATTCATACAAACTAGCTTATTGACTTGTCAGATGCAACTCATATTACTCCTCAATCTTCAATTCAACTCACAACAACTAAGAATTAGTAAGAAAACTGAAAACTGTAGATCAGAGCAGCAGCTAAAGGCAGGTTAAAGCCAAAGTGACAAAGAGAAATAATAATCCTTATTATATTGATCTTCATATGATCTTCAAAGAAAAATAGTTATATGCGGTTAATAAGCTGAGGAAATTGAGAGACAAAGGCTGATTATACCAGCATTTAGTAGAAAATGAAACCAAAATAATAAAGGAAAAAAGTAGAAACAAGATTTCTGTTGACTGTCATCCAAAGAAGAAAAAACAGCTTCTGTGTTTGTTAGTTTCAGTTATGTAATACTGTGCACTTCCTCATTTGAAATATGTGAATATCATTACAGTGATTTTCAAGGTTAG